CCCCCCCCCAAATACTTCGTTTCATAGTTTTTAACTGCAATCGATACACTGTGTGTATGCTGGATTTAGCAGACTCAGCCATCAAGGGTCACCTATAAGCAGTATGTCCTGAGTGTGGAACATTCTCTGTCTTAAAAAAATCCTCTTCGTAGAGTTATACTTGTGTCCAATATTTCCTCATATCCATTTAGCAATATTTCTGTCCTTGATCTTTCCTTTCGTTTGTCCTTTTAAATGTTTTTGAATTACTTGTCTTAGTCTGCATGTCTGCTTATATTTGTATGAAGACTTCAAAGAACAATTCAAACTTGGAGACTGAAAGAACATTCTTTCTGCTCATCTTCTTCCATAAAATGATATTTTCCAATAAAAACTGAATGAAGAATATGCTGATACATATTTTATGCACATTAGCATTTTGTCTTCATTATAAAAACTTAGAATGAGGTGTTAATATGTTTTGATATCATAACTAAGTAGTTAATATTTTCATAAACTAGGTTCCATACATCCATGGGTTATATTCACAAAAATGTAAATACATATATTTACAAAAATATAAATACAGAAGTACATATAAATAAAGAATGAAAATATGTAAATTAGGCAACCCAAAAGCTTGATATATTTTAATCTCAGCCAAACGTTCTGAGATTTTGCAATGCTGCAAAAATGCCACTGAAAACATGCTTCCACTCAATGGCATGAATGTTTCAAAGACTTCCTCTGAAAGATAAAATGATAGAAAACAATACTGTACCAGTTGGATCAAAGTCTGGAAAATAATCCGGACAATTCTGAGCAGTGATTCTTCCAGCAGGCGTGTCGTCCCAGCACAACCAGCCATCCCACGTTCGGTTGCAGAACAGACCTGGACATTTAAAAGGGATGCAGTAGTTAATTCACGCATAGTCACTCCTGCACTTGCTCTGTTCTACTGCCCAAGAAATATTGCTGTCTGTAGACAACTTTTTGCAATAAAACCCTTTGCTTTTGATGCACTTTCCATGGCATTCAGGTACTGCAAGTTACTGACCTTATGTTAGCAGTGTTAATTTTGCTGGCAAGTAATTTTTTTAACCCTGTTGAGTCTGACCCTACAAATTCCTCTCCATGATCCTCCTTCCATCCTCGGCTGTAAATGTGTACACTAGTGGTAAATGGGAGGGCGGGTGGAATTATCCAAAGATCTTATAACATTCACTTTTCATTTC